CATTCTACATCATTTTTTTTTTTTTTTTCATCATATACATCATCATCCATCATCCTCATCTTCCTCGTTAATCATATTGTTGTCATCACCATCCTAATTATAATATTCATATTTCATAAAACACCTTCACATATATATATATTTGATGAAAATATTAAACCTGTCACCACCAAACTTCTCAGATAATAATATTGTAATTTGCTGCCTTACTGTACCACCTCATATTTGACTACAATACTGAACATGTCGCCTCCAAACCTCTCTGCAAGCCATTTATTTTTCAGCACCGCAAGCTTTAGACATTCACAAGAGAAACATGCACTGTAGTTTGTGTGAATCGCACGACCCATGCCTTCAAGAATTATCAGGTCTGCTTCCTCGCAGCATGCTGCTATTGTTTGATCAATGCGACTAAAAAGAAAACAAAATGGGTCAGAATTTTAGCTGTTTAAAAATAAAAAATAATTAATTTTCCTTCCATACACAATTTTCAACCACAAAACATAATCATTAAAAAAATATATGTATATATTTACTTTTACAATTATTATTTACTCAATGATTTTTTATGTTAATGAATGTATGCACTATATTAGTCATTAAAATTAATAATATTATTTATTATAAACATTAACACATTTCAATTTTAAATTTCAATTTTATTCGATCTGAAATGGCAGCTTGAAAGCTGAATTACATGAGAATACATTACATACAATAAAACAATTGAATTGTAAAAACATTATTAAATTATTTGGGTAAAACATTTTAATTCTATTTACAAAACTATAAAAAATAATAACATTTATTAGATCAAACATTCTAACTCTATTTACATAATAAAATATCAAAAAATCACAAGTTATAACAATTAGATTATTATTTATATAAAAATACACATTATGTCATATAAATATATTTACAATTAAAATTTGATAAAAAATAACTTTTGAATTTCATTGAATTTGTAATGGAAGGTAAACCAATATAATCTTGTTTTTCTTTTTTGTGTTGATATAGTTAACTGTACAGAATTCCACAGTTGTAATAAATATAACCATGCTGTAACATCAACCCACACTGTATTAAACAAACATGATGTATTTTACGTTACCTGAGATCTAAACAAGGAGAGCCACTGCCATTTTGAATCAGCTGTAACTGTTTCTCATAGAGGGCTGTGCGTATGGTCTCATCCATAGTTATAATGCGCTCTACAATTATGACTAACTCATAATGAGTGATGTCATTGAGGGCGGGCTTTGAGTTGGCAGATAAGATAACCTGATAAAAACAAAAGAATTTCTCAGTATTTTATCACCACCACAGTCATAGCAGCAACACTAACATTGAATAAATAAATTCAGTGTACTACAGTTCAAAACAAAATGATAATCTTGTGATAAAACAAAAAACATTCGGTGAAAATTTGAAATTGAAACAAAAATTTTAACAACAATAAATCAAAAAGTACAATTGACATGGCATTCTATAATCATTAATTATTCATCAGTCAACTGATAACAGCAACTAGAATTCATAATACGCGATTATTTCTCTAAGAGAAGCTACGCTAAGCCACCTGTGTAGCTTCTGTGATTATGGATTAACATCAACGAACAAACTCAGCATTGTCATGGTAGCTATGCTTCAACTTATGAAGAAATTGAAAAGGCATAAAATTATAAAAATATTCAAAATTAGTCAAAGTGTACTGTACTTTGGTGATTAATTTCAAATCTATGGGCACAGAAAATTCCTTGTTATACAACAAATAATCAGCCTCGCTTAATAGACAACCTTTGTTAAATATAATTAGATATGTTTTATGTTTATGAAGAAATAAAATAGTTATTCACCTGTGTTCCTCGCTTTAGGAACTCCCTAACTAGTGGAAATATCCCCAAAATAATATCAGCACCACTGTTATCCACAAATATAACCACTCTTTTATGAGGTGGACCCTGAAAAATGAAAGAATACTACAATGGTGAAAGAGCACCATCATTGCTGAAATTTTGACAAGTGGAGGTATGAATTAACAACTTGGAACATCATTTCAAAGATTAATCATTTATTCTAACCTTTAGTCTTTCTAACCAGGCATCCATGTCATCCACCAACCAAGGTCTGGGTTGGAGGCCACACTTTGCTTCCAAAAAACCAAAATTACCTTGTTCCAATAAACTGCAGAAAAAAAATAGCGCATTTAAAATCTTCATAATATGGGTCTACAAAATACATACAAAATTAGATCAACAGTAAAATTGAACTGTCCACAATTGCTTTTAGGTCGGATGTTATAAAAATAATTAATGTTTATGAGCGCAACGGGAAGAATATTTTCATGAGTTGAAAGATTGACTGTTCCATTAGACTTAGGCGAAGTCGACTTATGCAAGTTTAATTGTAGGGGTGCAGATGGCCGTTCTGATTTCTCGGAGACTCCTAAGGCTTACGGGACCCCTGGGAATTGTACTTAATTTCTAAGGTAGTTTGGGAAATTGCTCATAAAAAGGCATTAAAATGTTCTAATGACCTAACATTTACTTACAGTGCTAGGTGTGTCCGTTTCTGAGAAATCAATGAAGGGTGTTGGCAATGCCGTAGCCAGGATTTTCAAACAGTGTGGGACAGTTTAAGAGTGGACCCAATTCAAAAGTGGCCCCAATCCAAGAGTGAACCTATTTCGGACTAATGTTAATGCGTGTTATTGAATGTTGTGTGCCCGGTTTTTAAACTAAATTTATTTTAGTCAGCAGTGACTACAGTAATATATATATATATATATATATATATATATAAAACTGGAGGGCTGCATTGGCAAACAAGATAGAAAAAACAAAAATTCCATAGAGATGGTAATAAGTTGCCAGATATATAATTTTATTCATATATATATATATATATATTGCAATCTTTGTATTTTAATTATTACCTCCACCAAGGGGGTTATGTTTTTGCCCGTTTATTTGCATGTTTGTTTGTCAGTTTGTCTGTCTGTGAACAGCCTACAGGACACAGTTTCCATCAGAAACTTCTCAAACTTAATGATCCATGACCAAAGATCTTGGTAATTAAATTTTGAAGGGTTATTTTTTTTTTTTTTTTTTATTAGAAATTTATAGAACTTGGTCCCAATGTTCCATGACCAACAATCTAAAGATGATTAAATATTGAAGGGTCAAGGTCACAGGTCAAAGTCATAATCATCGAAAAACTACTTTTTTATATATAACCGCCTACAGCCGACAATTTTTATCAGAAATCTGTAAACCTTGGTCACAATGTTCATTGACCAACAATCTAAAGATTGAAGGCTCTGGGCCAAAGGTCAAGGTCACAATCCATGAAAACTACTTATGTAATTCAGCGTTAATGCTGCCATTTGAGATTGAATAAAAAAAATATTGAAATATATGTAACAACCCACAACCAACATTTTTTATGAGAAACTTGTCAAACTTGATCACAATTAGGGAGCTTTTGATTTGCGCGACGACGCGACGCTAGAACAGAATCACTCATGTGTGACCGTTGTACCTGACGTCCTACGTTCTCTGCATACATAGATTTGGCCAAATTCCGTCCCAGAATCTACTCGACGAGGTGACCTCAACGTTCTCACATGCGCAGATGACTTTTACCGACGTCATTACGTTCTACGTCCTACTATCATCGTGCAATCGAAAGCTCCCATACATGACCAAAGATGTAGAGGTCTTTAAATTTTGAAAGGTCAAGGTCACAATCGGCGAAAAACTACCTTTGTATACATAACATCCTACAATCGACAATTTGTATTAGAAATTTGTAAAACTTGGTTACAATGTTGCATGACCAACAATCTAAAGTTTATTAAATTTTAAAGGGTCAAGGTCAGATGTCAAGGTTGCAATCAAGGAAAAACTACTTTATTTACCTACTGTGCACAGATTTCATCAGAAACTTGTCAAACTCGGCCACAATATTCCATGACAAAAGTTCTGGATGTGACTAAACTTTGAAGGGTCAGGGTCTAAGGTCAAGGGCACAATGAACAAAAACTACTTTATTACATGTTGTTTGTATGCAACTGACAGAACCAAAACGAGTGGATCGTTCGACCGAGTCGTTTGATAGGCCGGGACGACTCAAGCGGATCGACCATGTGCCACATTTTGCCTGACAGACTAGAAGTGATCTGGATGGTGTGCAAGCCTGATTAATGGGCTTGCCACCTGAGGCCTGATGATAAAACTAGTTTTGCGGATGGAGTGAACAAGTAAGACGCATATTTTCGATATCTTTGGGCCACATAACTCACAATCTACAGTTCTAATTTTATAAAAATAATAGTGAATAATAATACGATATTAAATAAAAGTATTCAATGAATGCACAAATAATCAAAAGAAAATAATAATAATAATAACAATAACAATAATAATAATAATAATAATAATAATAATAATAATAATAATAATAATAATAAAATAAAAAGAAAAACAGGGAGATGCGAACCCAATACAGTCGATTAGATTTACACATAATACTTGCACCTTTACCGCTCATCTACACTTCCCCTAACAAACATGTATACTTAGTAATATTACACCTCTATAGTACAAAAAAAAATAAATAAATAAAAATATAATGATTAAATGAACGAACTACCTTTTTATTTGTCTGCTGTATGGACGTGTGTTTGTGTGCCCATGGAGGAATATATATTTCCTCCATGGTGTGCCTATACAGAATCTTGCCGTAACACAATATACTGGCATTAACTTCACAGCGATTCAGGTGAAACAGTTTAGTTGAGTGGTTATCAGAGTGTTTTCCACACTCTTGATCCCAGGTTCAAATCCCATGATGTCTTTTTTTTTTCATTATCTTTTATTTAATTGTACGTATTAAACTTATTACCAGTCAAATGGATACATTTTTTCAGGGGTAATATGCATGGGGAATTTATACAGAGGAGCTTATGATGAAGGCAGAGGCATGCACTCTCAGAGTGTTTTTTATCCAATTGTGGTATCCCAAGAGGTCCAGATTCAACATAAAATAGTTAACAAAGTAAATACATATAAAAATCAAGAAAGGTGGTTACTTAATACTATTCCTAAATATATTTAATGCAATAGTGTCAAATTTGCAGCAGATATCTAATGAAAGCTGATTCCATAATTTACATGTTGTGCTTGTTGATTTGTGCTTTGTGAATAAGTAAAGTTTTACTACTACTCCTAATAATCTAGACCCACCTTTTAAAATATAAAACCATTTCATGCATATAAACTGAATAATGTAGCATTTTAAAAACTGGAACCCATTTTATACGTAAAGCAAACTAAAGCAGAGCCATTTAATGTGCGTATAAACTCAATAATTCGACCATTTAAAAAATCCCACCTATTTTAAGCATAAAATCTTTTAAAATATGGACCCATTTCATATATAAATATTATTTAGTGAGATTTGGGACCAATTTTACACCTAAAAATATAACTAACAATGGACCCATCTTTAAAAAAGTGGACCCATTTAATGCGTATGAATTGAATAATGCTGACCATTTAAAAATTGATGCATACAAACTGAAAAACGTGGAGCATTTTAAAAAGTGGGACCCATTCTATGAGTAAAACTAATTAATGTGTACCTGAATTCTAAAAAGTGGACCCATTTAAAAATGTTTATGCATAAAATATACAGTATCTAATGTGAACCATTTTTTATAAACTTAATAATGTGAAGCATTTTAACACGTTGGCTGCCAGCGACGAGTATACTCCTCCCACAGGGTGTTGCTGAGTGCGCTAGGGACGAGTATAAAATCGGGGAACATTCTGGCGTTTATTACTTCTTTGTTATACATTGTAGAACCACAGACTCAACGGCTGGTAGTTCAGGGAATATACACCTAGACGATAACGTACAAATGACGTAAGTATGTTTGTTGTGTTATGTTGCCAGTAGTACACTCAAGCCGCTTAAATGGGGCGCCATTCGAACATATACCATACCCAAGCAAAAAGCAGACAAGATAACTCGCACTTGCCATAGTCAATAAAAACTGCTGTCACAGTGCCGCTACGAGTTTACTCGTCCCCTAATATTTTCCCGCCAATTTCACATCATTTTGATATATGACTAGATGAAATTTCAAAAAAGTATGTTTGTACATGTAAGCTTGTTTTGGCACATGGGAAGGAACCTTTAAAAAAGGTCTGGCAGTCAACATGTTAAAAACTGGGACCATTTTACACCTAAAATCTAACTAATGTGGACCTGCAATCTAAAAAGTGGACCCATTTAAAAAAAATTACCTACTTTATGCATGAAATCTAACTATATTTGGACCCATTTCATGCATATAAACTTAATAATGTTGATCATTTCAAAAATTGGGACCAACATTAGTTACAAATAAATTATCAAATTTATTTGTAACTATAAACCCAAATGTGTGGACCCATTTATAATAAGTGAACCCATTTTCAAAATTTGGCCCCATTTCTAATGAGTGGACTCATAAATGTGGACCTTTTTTGTGTGTAAAATGTAACTAATGTGGACCCATTTCTAAAAAGTGGGTGCATTTCATGCACAAAAACTCAAATGTGTTTACCTATTTTTAAAAGGTGGACCCTTTTGATGTGTAAAAAATGTGGACACATTTTAAAAATTTGGACCCCTCTTATGCGTAAAATGTAACTAATTTTGAACCATTTTGAAAAAGTGGACCCTTTTTACGCGTAAAAAATGTGGACTTGCAGTATTTTTTTTAAAAGTGTACCCATTTTAAAACTTTGGAGCCCTTTTATGCATAACATGTAAGTAAGTTTTAAAAATTTGGACCCCTTTTATGCGTAAAATGTAACTAAAGTGGACCAACTTTTAAAATGTGGAACCTTTTCGCGCGTAAAAACCTCACAAATTTGGACCCATTATAAAAAATTGAACCTTTTTTATGTGTAAAATGTACCCACTTTGAAAAATTGGACCCATTTCACGCATATAAGCTAAGTAATATTACTTAGTTTATAAGTCTCAACCCATTTTAGATGTAATTTTACAATGTGGAAAGTAATGGGTTAAAAAAAAAATTAAAGGGAAATTAAGCGGGGCAGTCCCCACTGTCCCAATAGCTGGCTACGGCATTGGGTGTCGGGCTACTAAATCCTGAACTGCCAGCAAAATTCTCACCCCATTGGTATTTATCAGTGTCTGAGAGAAAATAAAAATAAACAATGGCCTTCTAAAAACACACTACTCAATGGTTAGTTTTTTTTTCAAATAAACCAAATTATTTTATTTAGTATAAAAAATATAAGTATGTATTTAGAGTTGCTTGAAAACAAACTGTAAATGGTCGTACAGTATATGAAAAAAAAATCAAATATAAAATAAGTAAAGGTTACCATCCTCTTCTGCACCCTTGAGGAAAGCACCAATAGCACCTAAGTAACCCTCATGCTTCAAGTATAAGGCTTGTACTTCACCCTAAAATTAAAATGAAAATACAAAAAATCTGGGTAAATTCTTAAGATCATTTTTTAGGTCATTTCAATGGATATCAAACAAAAGAAGAACAGGGTATTATTGTACCAATTTTGCATATCACAAGGACGCTATGTAAATAATCACTCCACAAATATCCACACTAAGAAGATATAAACGAAAGTATAATACATACTCCAAGTATTGAAATGCACGTGTTGGGATTCAATATTTCAACATTAATTATGTCATCATCAGGAATGAATAAATAAACAAAAGATCAAAGCATTCTGAGCACTACTGCAGTGGATTTGTGCGCTTTATAAATCTTATTATTATTTATTATTTATCATTATTATTATTATTATTATTATTATTATTATTATTAAAAAATTATCCATATTAGCAAGCTTACATGCACTAGTACCAAAAGTGTTTAACTAATCAAAACATTACCTCTAGTAGGTGACATAGCAGTGAATTCAAAAACAAAAGATCAAAGCATTCTTTTACAGAAGATAATGATAATGTCATTGCATCTGCAATGTCTTCTGTAATGTAAGTAATAAATTAGGTTTAATATTTTCTAGTACTAACATTATTGACAGCTCCCGAAACTGGTCTATCCTATTGTTTAAAGAAGCGTTTGCTATATGTATGTACACCCTTTGCTTAACAATGGGCTCAGAGCTTCAAAGGAGCATTCTTTGATTTTGTAGGTAGCTTTGATCAGTTGAGTAAGAATGCTTTGATCTTTTGTTTAAATCACTGCTATGTCACCTACTAGAGGTAATGTTTTGATTGGTTAAACACTTTTGGTACTAGTGCATATTAGCTTGCTAATATGGATAATTTTTTCATTCCTGATAGTAATTGTTATTGTCGTGATGGAATAATAGACAATAACTGGATTTGCGTCAGGAGAAACATGTATAGGTGTAATTTTGCCCTACCTGACGTGGAAATGTACCGAATACTCAGTACATTTGAAAACAACTGCGAAAAAAAGTTGTTCTCGGGTGGGACTTTTCATTTCTGACGATGACATAATTAATGTCGAAATATTGAATCCCAACACGATGGCGTGCATTTTAATACTTGGAGTATGTATTATACTTTCTTATCTGAGATTAATCAGTGGATCACCTAGTGTGTGATATGCAACCTGGTAGACAATAACATTGTTCAATGGTAGATTGGTGTTATACTCTTCATCGTGGTTTTATGAGTATGTTAACATGCCAAGGTGTTAGTCTATCCAGTATATATTTTGAACCCTTCTAATGTAATCGCTTATAGGACGCTGGAGTGAGTAAGTAATTGTACCGTAGTCTCGTCCTTAATTTTCTCATGGAGTTTTAGCACTGGATAGAATAGAAGTCCGACTACCGATTATAAAGGCTCAACCGCGAAGTTGAACATGTATCTTTTCTGGTACAATAATTATTAATGTATATTCATATAACTAACTGGAATAATTGTTAATACATTGATACTGCCCATGTATGGTATTATTTGTTTGCTATATGTGATAACTATTGATATAATTCCCTTCAATTTATCTTGCCACTCAGTCCTGGTGTAGTATGATTTGTTTTGATAAATGTAATAAAAGAATTCTAGTGTTTCTTCTCTCATTTCTTGGAATCTTTGTACGCCATCTCAATTCTGCGAATTTCCCGATGGACCCATGGTTCTCTACTACTCTTGTAAATCTTTCCTTCAAGGCGTTGTCCTTAAGGCTTTCTAAGGCTGCTTTCTCAACGTATGTTGTCGCTGCCTTGATCATTCTTTAGTATATTTGCATCAGCGCCACCTCCAGGCTCGCAGCACCTGAACTTGACTTGTCACATCCGCTCGTAGATTCAGTTCTGTTCCAGTTGTATCCCACCGCTACCACCAAAATTTGTCTTGGGTTGAACAAAGACAATGAAACTAACGAATATCGAAACAGAATATAAAGGAAGCAAAATAAAAATCCCTGCAATGCACTCGTTCAACAGTTACAACCAAGAGATTTGTCTCTCACCTTTGAAAAGTAATTGAGAGCAAATGTGATGGCTCTCATGGTGACTGGGTGTCCACAAATAAAGTAACCTCCAAAATAAACACGCTTCATGTTTTCTTGGTTTGCATACAGACACGACATTTGTCCGATTCCATAGCTGATCATCAACAGAAGGCTCTTTGCAATGTCTTCACGTGCATAGTTACCATTTTCTTAAAATTGCAATTAGAAGTCATAATAGCATATAAACTTAGGTTTGGCTAAAAAATTCCATTAGATGAGCAAGTTTTGTATATCACAGGGCTAGTACTATATAGTAAGTAAAATGAAAATATTATCAGCAATATATTTACTATAATGATTTTAGAGGGGCAAGAAAGTACTTTATATTGTGATTTTATAGAAGCACTTATAGTGAAAAATTAAAAAAACTAATCAATAAAGAATCGTATGCCTAAAATTCATGAAAGGAACCCTTTTTTTCTATTGTTTTGATTTTATTTGATATGTGCTAATCTAATAAAATCAATCTATAACTAAAAACTGTTTTTATATTGGCCGACAATAAAACAACCTTAATTTTAAGTTTGATGGAATGTTTTGTTTGCACTATTTTAAACAATGAGTTTCTGTTTTGTGATTTCTTGATGATACTCTGTAGAAAATAATCTTATCTTTAATATCTTAAGATGGATACCTGAGCTAAATTGGTCGTCCATCGAATGTTTGCCAGTTCTGCCAAAGTGACAAGCTAGTAAGTCTTCTGGCAGTCCTGTAGCAGAGTAGGCACCACCATAGATGTCCTTGACCAGCATGTCCACGTTGCGATGATCACCAGCCATGGCTAGTTGAAGCAGTTCATCAAAACCCTATAGACCAATCACAAAACAATAAAACATCTACAAATTAAATGTTTCATAGCAAACTTAATGCTATGGAGATCTTGGTCGTTGTTTCTTCACAAGACAAAATACAGGTTACATCAGTCTTTTGGAAAACGCTATGGTATCCCATTACAGTGTTTTCATTGGCCTGGCGAAGACGCTGGCGGCACACTCCACTGGTAGGCAAAAAAAATTGCCAAGGATAGGATAAATGCGCACAGGAAATCAGAATACTGGTTATATATATATATATATTTTTGTGCCAAAATATACACTACATAGATAAAGATTACCAGGGGATTCCTGTGTGCATGAACAGAACAAATATGACATGGTTTTTCGAAGTGGCAGATGCGTTTAAACAATTGAATTGTGATTCAATGGTATATCCAAAACTAGGACTATATTCCGGTGAAAAAATTAGACATTACCGGCATCATGAGAGGGAAGGAAACACCATAATTATAGTTACATAGTAGGCATAGGCTAGGCCAGCCTTTGCCTAAACTTTCTTTCTTGATGTCATAGGTTAGTTTTTGCCCAACAACAACCAATCCAACCAAACACACCCATCACAAGGAAGACCGCCCACTTGTAATGCATTATGTAACAAGTTATTTTTAGCAGCGAAATTCTCTGTGGAACATGTGAGCCTTCATGCTGTGAATCAACGATTGGATCAGCCCACTGGACGAGTCTCATTAGGAACGGACCGCGCTGTTGCCAATATTTAGCTGCAGCTGTTAGGTGTTTTAGCGACAGTAAACAATTAAAGAATTGCCTTTGCATTTCAACTTTACGGTGATCCCAATGTCCGATCTAACCAATTGGAGAGATTCTGCCGAATTCGGAACTAATTCCTTTATATTTTGTGAGCATTTTTTTTTCACACAGTTTTTTTCATGCAGTTAAAATAAATGATGCGACGATAAATAAATAAATAAATTTTAAAAAAATATAATTATTCCCGCATCAATATTTTCAAAATTGTTGACGTGGGAGTGATAATCTAATAAATTTTTCTATTTGCCCTAAAGCAATGTTCTTTTCTCGGTTATTGGGTGTTTAAGTGTTGCTGCTGGTAATCAGCGCAGGAGAGGCAACCCTACCAAGTACCCATTTACTGTATATTCTTGGTTGGAGAGAAGCAATGCAGATTAAGTGCCTTGCTCAAGGACACAAGCGAAATACACAGTGAGGGATTGAAACCAACAACCTCGAAGTTGGGAAACCAAACCGTTCATGCTGCACCAAACCGCTTCATTCTAATTCAGTTAATTTCACTATTCAATCATTGAGAAGGAACAGATGAACCCATTACAACATTTCATTGTGTCTTAAATGTTATGAAACCAACCTTAGCTTTTGTGAGCAGGGAGCCTAGCCCCCAGAAAGTTCCACCACCCATAGCTGAGCCTCCGATTCTCTCGTACTGTGTTTCTGATTCGACCTTAAAAATGTTGACCCCTGAGCTAATCTTAACCAGCAGGTAGGGAAACAAGTTTTGGTCTGATGGCTGAAACTGATACTTCTGATTGGCATGTCGCTGCAAGATGAACGCTTCATCTGGAATATTCCTCAGCAGGAAATGTAACCCCTTTATCAAACACTCCATCTCATCTTCTTTTTCAATCCTGAAATTGACAAGCATACAGGTATATATTAGTATACTACTGAACCTAAGGGCCTCCCCATCAGGAGTTTCCTAAACACCCTGTTGGATTGCACAAGTAATTGAATAGTCTGGACTTTACTATATTTTTTGACAGATAAAATTCTATAAATATAATTATAAAATGTTAAAAAATAAAAAAAAAAAAATAAAAAAAAAAATTTAAATTTGAACTTACGTTACTCCTAGTTTCTCAGATAAAAGTTCTTTATACTTAAGTGATCCACTTCCGGTCGCCTTCACATTTTTTCCGTTCATTTGTTCTTCATTTTCTATCAAGTTCTGCTTGATAAAATCAAGACAACTTTCAATATACTTAGTTTCAAATTTAATAAAATGAAGACGGGTAGCAATTTCCTCCTCTTCTCCAGCTACATACAACATAGGGCTTTCTTTTTCATCTTCTGTTTGCTTTCCTGCTTCAGAGCAATGACTTTGTTTCTTGTGCAAGTTTGAATAGTATGCTAATTTGCATAGTGATCCACCTGGGTAAAGATGTATGAATAAAACAAACTAACTACTTATATTTATTGTTATTATTCAAATTGCACATACTAGCATATTTTTTTTGGCTCGGCTCCCGCATATTTTTAAGGGGGATTGGTCACCTACTTTTCGACCTCAATGTAATTTCATAAGTCAAGCAGATGAATAAAACTTGTTGAATTGAACTGCATAAATGACCCAGGTTTCAACGAAAAAGTGCGGTATAGCCAGAGTACATCTTCTACTGTATATAGAAAGAAGATACTTGTATCGGTCCACAAACATCTGAATTACTTATAATACATGATTGGAATGCACATGCCTTTATTATAATTTGAGATGTATGATAAAAGCGTGTAAAGATAAAATTGTTTTTCGGCAAATGAAGTAGGTAAAGTAAAGTAAATACAGCAAAGACAATGTTTTTTTGTTTTTTTTAAAGTCATATTTTCTATGGTACATCACAGAGGTTAAAATCACTATTTCCCTGAATTTTCAAACCACAGCTTCAACCATGGTGGGGCTGAGGTGGGTGTGGGTGTAGACTCGCGGTTTTGAATTTGGATTAAGAATACATCAAAGATAATATTTATAAGTTTTATTTTTCTGGTATATCACACAGATTAATCATAGATCTCTATGCCAAAAATGTTGATGTGATGATGATGAATTTTACTATAAGACTGTCATTTCATGCCGTCTAGGCCTAGAGGTATTATTAGAGGTGGGTGTGGGCTCACAGCTATGAAGTAGGGAAAAAAGGGGGTTAGGTAAACTAAATAACCAAAGAAAATAATTTTAATTTTCTATGGTAGGGCCTAGGCTAGGCCTACATCACGCAGAGATGGTTGCAAAAAATTGCCAAGATCATGAGTAATTTGTTGCCACTTCATTTTGACGATATAATGGTGATGATGTGATAAGGATGAATTTTAATATTACTAGTACCGTAAATGCTTGCATAAGCGCCGCTGCTCTTATATAACATTTTTGGAGGCTCAGTACAGTGCTTATTCGAGAGTGGCGCTTATGAAAAACATATTGATGTGGCACTTTCTATGTCCAGTCCCACGTTACTTATCCCGCATATTCCCATAGTTCAGTAGGCCTATCATACAGTAGGTCCTACAGTACCGTACGTCATCGCAAATAACCATTTATATCAATCAATCTTTATTCATTCTTTAAATAGTAACAAATGCTGAACCCAAGGAGACAAGCCTGTTAACTGATGCAGGTAACTAACTTAAATACAAAACCGGTAAATTACAGAAACAATGATGATGATGATAATGATAATAAGGAAAATAATAATTATGTTCTTTAATACAACACGACCCCAAGTCAACTCCGCCCCATGTCAACTCCGCTCCAAGTAGTCAAATCGGCCCCAATTTACTCTGTATTTACTAAATATTTACCAAAAGAGATTTGAATGCAAAGAAAAAAATGTTTTAAATAGTTGCCTGTATTATTTCTTTTCATTTACATCCACTTAACAATAATTAAAACTGCATTAATAAAAATAATATTATAACAATGAAAAGGTATAATATAATATTAATATGATAATAATGATATGATGACAATAGTAATCATGGTAAGTGTTAAGTCCACCATAGTTGGGACTGACACAAGATATTTTTAATAATTAGGAGGCATTGAAATGTCCTAAATTGCAATTTAAGACTATATAAAAGCCGGGAACAATTAAATAAGTATTACCGAAATAAAAGGTAGACAAGGCTGCTGGTGTAGTTGGAGTACACCCATATGTGTTACATGAATGTTCAAAGTAGTTGGCTCAACCATTGTTTATGATCTTTACAAAATCAATCAGGGAAGGTCAAGTTCTAGAGGATTGGAAGTGTTCTCTCGTGTGTGCCCAATATACAAGAAGGGAAGAAAAAAATCAAGCTCAGAACTATCGGCCAATAAGTATTACATCAGTACCTTGCAAAATTTTAGAAGGCTTAATCAGAGATAATATAGTTAATCATCGAAAGGTCCACTGATTAATCTCAGAAAAGAAAGTATAATACATACTCCTAGTATTGAAATGCACGCCATCGTGTTGGGATTCAATATTTCGACAAGAGGTTAATGCAGAAGGCATATGGTGTAAATGGTAAAATGGCAAATTGGATTAGTCTGTATTTAAAGGAAAGGCACCAGCAAGTTGCAGTGAGAGAAGCGAAGTCACAGTGGCTAGAGGTTGACAGTGGTGTACCGTAAAGCTCGGTTATTGGACCAACTTTATTTTTGATCTATATCAACGATCTCATGTTCGCTGATGATACCAAATTGATTGAGTCTTTTAACCAAAATGATCCAATGACAAATAAATTGCAGGATAATCGCAACAAGATACAGGAATGATCTGAAAAGTGGCTACTCCAATCCAATTCAATGTCGATAAGTGCAAAATTCTCAACATGGGAAGCACTAATCCTCACACTGTATATTGGGAGGACACAATATACAGAAAGCTATTAAAGATGACAAAGATTTAGGAGTATGGATTTCAGATGATTGTAAAGCATCAGTCCAATGTTCTAAGGGAGCAGTAAAAGCCATGAATCAACTTAGATTGATCAAAAGAACCTTTGAGTATATTGATTGCGAAGCCTTCCATATACTGTTCAGAACATACATCAGACCTCATCTTGAATACTGTGTGCAAGCTTGGTACCCTTGCTTGAAAAAAGATATCCAAAAATTAGAGCTGGTACAGAGACGAGCTACCAAATTGGTGAACAGTATCAAATCAGATCCTTATGAAACAAGACTTAAGAAATTGAAATTGTATCCTTTAGCAGTTAGAAGATTAAGAGACCTTATTGAAGCATTAGAAATCATTACAGATAAAGAAAACATTGACAGCTTCATCTTTTTTTCATCTAATCCTGCTAGCATCATTGGTGGTCACAAATACAAAGTGTATAGCCATCTATGAATAAAGGCCTAGAAATCAGAAAGAACTACTTTAGCTATAGAATCATCAAGCATTGAAACAATCTCCCATCCAACACTGTTCAAGCAACTACTGTATTAACTCTATTTGACAAGAAATAAAAAAACGCCGCAACTTCTGTAGCTTATTAAATTTGTGTAATACAGCTACTTCCAAATTTATCCTATGTGTAAATTTTGTTATCGTATTTAAGTTTCTGTTTCAATAAATAAATCTGTAACGGTATTTTCCTATAGATCAATAAATATAGCCCTATACTTATTTATTGTTAAGGATAGGCCTAATTTTTTACTGCAATATGCATAATACTGTATATGAATTAAAGATTATTTTACAAATAAAATTGATGTTAAAATATTAAAATGATAAAACGAATATGGAATTATCAAAGGGTGGGTTTTCTAAGATTATTCCTGTGGCTGGGTTTGTCTGGGTTGTAATTCCATATGGTAGTTAATTAAGCTGTCACCTACTCAAGGCTTGACCATGTTGATAACCTTCAGAGGCTTCATTATCAGCTATTGTCGGTCCACTGCTGGACAAATGTTTCAGGATGTCGACGCCAAATCAATCTTTTTCTCTTGCTGCGTTGCACCATTTCACTCTTCCCCAATAAATATCGATCTCATCTCTTAATATTTTACGGTGATTTCCCTTGTTCGTTTTGCCATCCATGAGGTCTGTTTACTGTTTGTATTTGTTTGTACTCCTGCTGGCTACAAGTTCAATAACCAGATTGAAAACCACTGAGCCAAACCACATTTTTAACATTATTGTATTAATATTAATATAATATATTAATTTTAATATTATTTCATTTATTTGTATTCATTCCCCTCCCCCACTAGCTTGGCTAGGCCTTTCTACTACTGCCGCCAGTGTGTGGCTATTTTTTATGGGTCGATAAAACACGTACCGTACGATATCTCGATAATAGTTAGCCTAATCCTAACCCTCTTCAGCGTAAGGCATCATACTTTTCGACATTAAATGTGGAATATCCTGGCTCTACTACTTGGCTAGTGGTAGGCCCTAGGTTGTGCGTCACTTTCTGTGGTTATTTATATACTTTTTACGCGACAATTTAATTACAATTCCCCCGACGAACACTTATGAACTGGCTCGATTGATAGCCAAAATAGAGGCTTTCGACCCACTTGTGTTCTCATTATATTCCATATAGATTTCCCATTTCTATTTCATACCCTCTTCGCAGCCGATGTTTGGTTCCTAAGACGATTTTTTGGTAATCATACCCTCTTCGCAGCTGTATTTGGTTCTAAAGATGTCTTCGCAGCCGCTAGTTGGTTCCTGAGACGTCTTTTTGGTAACTGCGCATGCTCGACATGGCTCGATAAAGTCACTTTTTAAATGGACATGCTCACTGGCTGTCTAGCATTTCCAAGCGCATGCTCTGTGTTTTTTTATAAATAATTCACGGACGTTATTTGGTAACTGCGCATGCGCATTTAGTTCGGAATTCCCATTTCATGTTCATACCGTTATTATCAATAGTTTTTATACTATGCCTTTTTAATTATCATTAAATTTTAATATTATTTTTATTAATGCTGTTTTTTCAGCCACAAAAACTTTTCATTATTTATATATACAATAACAATTACTATCAATGCTGTTTTTATTATTATGTAGAAGATGGGGTAGCCGTGTTAGTCTAGATGATAACAGTAAATGAAGGATAAACAGCATTTTTCAGACTAACAAATTTTATTAAATCAAGCTTTTCGATCACGCAGTGGTCTTCTTCAGGTGAACTCCCAAGAAGCAGACTACTGTGTGGTCGAAAGTTTGTGGTTTAATAAATTTGTTAGTCTGAAAAGTGCTGTTTGTCCTTCATTTACTGTTTTTAGTTATCATTTCATCTTATATAATGTATTTACCGCTGTGGTAAATGTTATTTTATGTGAATAACCAATTATGGTAGATTTTCATATTCCAATCATAGCTTAAAAACGGATAGTTCTACATTCTTGCATACTGTATTTTAAGATTTTTTAAATATAC